GCGATTTCTGTCTGGTTCGGAAGGAGGTGAGCAGATTTCGGGTTGAAAAAATCCAAACTCAAAAACTTCGGTTTAGGCTCGATTTTCTCTTTTTGAAAAAAAAAAAAAAAAAAATTTGAAGTGTAGAATACTTTTGAAATCGATAACCCGAATCAACTCGGATGGGTTGGCTCGATTTCTTGTTAATGTAGGGATTGTTTTCAGGTTGAGATTTCAACCAACCCAAAATATTGGTTCGATTGTTGAATTGGACCCGAACTCGATCAAACCCCATGCCCAACCTAATATCTTTGGATAGATAAGATTAAAGACATAATGAAATGATGACGGGTAGTTTTGTTTTTAGCGGCTGCCGGGCCAAGCTGCTGGTCCAAGTGACTGCATTATAAGTTTGATTTTGATGGAACCAGCGGTCAATGTGTTTCGCTGAGCAAGACTTTGTACATATACATTCAATTGTTTGGGTCCCATTATAATGAGGACTAATGAATAAATTTAATTTTGACTTCACGTTATAAGTAGATTATAAAGAAATCCAAACAAGCACAATAAATCGACGGTTACGACAACTTATTTTTTTTAATTGGGCGACTCAACAAAATCCAGGTTGCTACATACGTAACATCCTTTGGAATTTAATAAAGAAATAAATATATAATAATAATAATCATAAGTAGGAAAAAATTATTGAAAAATGTGAAAAATATTTTTTTAAGGATGTGATTAAAAAATGACTACAGGCTCGTTTAGGAGAGAATTTTTAGAAGAGCATTTTCCTCAAAATTATTTTTCAATCACAGATATTTTTTTGTATTTTTTAAACATGTAGCAAGACCTAACAAATTATAGATCTTGCTACGTGTTCATAAAGATTTATATAAGTAATTACATAATGTCATTTTTTCCAATTTGTTAGTTTAAAATATAATCAATTTTTTCTCTCCACGTCATTTTATGTACGAATAGTATAATCCACAAATTATTTCTACAATCATGTTACATGTACATTTTGGTTGCTATCAAAGTTTACATTATTTCATATGGTTACATATACACCATTAATTTTGAACGCAACTATCACATCATTGTCCAAATTTCTTTCATACAAGGAGGACGTCAAGAAATATGTCGATGAGAATTTACATGTAGCATTATTCTTCTTTCTATGACTTATCTAATTATTCCGTGACAAGTAAAATAGTCATTAAATAATTAACTCATAATTTTATAGTAAATTAATATTTATATATTATATTTAAAATTTTCAACTTAAAACAATTCTAAAAATTGCAATCTATTACGGTGGTGTATTCAATTAGCATTTTTGAAGACTTTTATAGACGTGATGGCTTTTGTAAATTTCATGAACTTCTATAGATTTGTATGAGATTAATTTCGTAGACAGCTTTTATAGACTTCCATTTTAAAACTTTTATATACTTTCGTAAAATTTAAAACACTTGAAAACTTTCATTCAAACTAAAATTCACGTGGGTCTAGTGTAACAGTGTGAAGTTCTCACATACAATGTGGTCCCAAGTAATTTTTTTTTTTTCAAAAGAACAAAAATTTAAGTCACCTTAATTAAATAAAAAAATAATCAAAATATCATATAAATAAAAAAAATTAATGTTGAATATTATCAATATGACATACCTTTAAAAAGTAAGCAAGAAATTATATATTTAAATTTAATTATATATTAGTTTTTTGTTATATAAAATCTTATAATTTAATTACAAGTAGATATTTTTCATAAAAATATGAATGAAAAAGGATAATAGTTATAATAATATTTAGTTACATTTATATTTTTCCATAGAAAATGGAGATAACAGTAAGAGAGAGAGAGAGAGAGAGAGAGAGAGAGAGAGAGAGACGAAGCCGCCGACGATCACAGCCACAACCAACCACCGTCGTATACAATGCATCGATCGCAGCCACAAAATATTGAAAGAAACAAAAAATACGTATTACTTTAATTTTTTTTAAAATCTCCCAAAATCTTGATACAAATGTGAGTCAAATTTTGAAATTTTATTTTTGTATCGTCCGTTTATTGACGTAAATTAAAGTTGCAAACCAAGTCATTAACATGGCAAATGACTTAAAGTGAATCATTTTCAACATTAACCCATTTTTTCAATGGAATTGTAGTTAATAATTGGAGTGCAAAGTCACAAATCAAGTCAATAACATGACAAATGATAATGAATCTATGATCACACGAGTCTCTAAAGCTCAGAAGTGACATGAGTTTAACTCGCACAAAAGTCTTTGGGGCTTTAATTGTTAGCAAACGCCCTAGAGTTATAGCGTATGACGCAAATGTAATTTACCTTACATTATCGAGAATCAACTCAATAATTCATTTCAAGCCAAATTCGTTGTGCTCATCCTTTTTTCAAGTATACTCTTGCATTATTAATTTACTCAACGAGAATACTTCAGCGTCAACTTGAATACAAGACTTTCATCTTTAACATCAACTGATATAGTGCTCATGATATTAATGATACCAATACAACCCTGCAAACAGTGACGAATTTAGGGAGGCTGGCACATTTCATTTTTATATATGTAAAAAAAATCCTTGCTCGTGAATTCACTCCATATCAAGTTCATTAGGTCCACTTCCATTTCAAGCATGCTTCTACATTACATATAATATGAGCGTATCATATTTACCTAAGCTTCCGTGGCTCATGAAAGCATGCGAAAAAGTCATACGAATTCTCATAATATTTTGCCAAACAATAGTAAATATCTGACTTAAGCATTGTTATATAATTGTGTTGTTCAACTATTGGTAAATGAGAAATTGATCAATTATGGTTGAAAAGAGATTAAAAATTTGAAAATGCAGTTGGGCAGTTTTTCTTAAAAAAACTGTTGGACATTTTTTTTTTTTTTTTTGGGTACATTTTCATCCTCTTTTACCATCTTTTTGTGAAAAATTGGCACTCATACGAAAATGTATGAAGGAATTCTATAAATAGGCATAGAATTCATGGATAAATATACTAATTCTCATTTATATACTTTGAAATAATCATCCCAAAAACCATCTTTTTGTGAAATGTTGGCACCCATACTAAAGTGTATGAAGGAATTCTATAATAAGAATAGAATTCATGGATTAAATATACTAATTCTCATTTATATATTTTGAAATAATCATCCCAAACTCTCTCAAAATTATACTTAGAATTATTTCAAATTCTTTTCTTGTTCCTTCTTTCCGGGTTTCAATAGTGCTAATTGCAACTCGGTTTCTTGACTTGAAATCCGCTAAAGTTATTTGTGTGTTGGTCCTTTAGCATTCTGATTTTACCCGTATGTTGGGAAAAATGATTATTTATTTATCATTTTACCCGTCTATACTATTTTTAAGTTGTTATTTTTATTATGTTTAAATATTAGACTTTTTCTTTATTATTTATTAAGATTTATTTTGCATACATTTGATTTAAACGAGATTACTTTGGTGAAAAATAAAATTATAAATATTATTATATTGTAAAATGTGATTATATATATAGATTTATTTTTTATTCATTTTTTAATAAATATATTTTTTGTTAATTTTTAATATATTCGTTTCTTAATGGGAAATCAAAATTCACAAAACTATCATTAGGATGAAACCAATATATACAAAAAGATAAAAATAAATAAATAAAATTAAAAAATAGAATTAAAACAGTTTATTTTTATCTAAAAAAAATTAAAAAACAAATAAAGGCATAAGAAGAGAAGGGCAAAATGAAAAACCTGCGATAAGAGCGAAAGTTTTTAAAAATGAAATGGAGGTCTATGTCATTTTAGAAAACCTTAAAGAAGGTTTATGCAATTTGCTTTAATTTAATTAATGTACAAAATAAATTTCCAACTAAGATTGATGTTTGCATTTTGCGTACGTTTTCACGACCAAAAAGCATTGCATGTGGCCATATCTATGCGCAATACGAGTCGCATTCAGTTTTGATGCGCAAGCTATGGTGGAAAAACAAAGTCTAGCAGTCTCGTCTACTTTTTGGCAATCAAACTGGTTGCGTAAGGTATGGAAGAAAAACAAAGTTATGGTCCGTTCAACAAATCAAAACTTCCAAAATGCATATTATGGTCCCGAAGCTTGGTAGAATTTTTGTATCTTGTTATTGTTTGATTGAGCAGACAACGACAGAGGAATCCTACATATATTGACTCGACATTGATTATTAAATTGAATTGGACCTATTCGATTAAATAAAATGTTCTTGTATTCCGGCCCGATTCAATGGCCTATATTGATCCATTTCTCTCGCTATGAGCTCATTTCACAACTAAGATATGAATGTTCTTTGACCCTGGCCAAATCCCTATCTTCCATCTCTCGCACTCATTATTTTTTGTCCTACCTTTGACTTGATCGTCGAAATGCAATGATCATCTGACATTTTTCTCGGCCGACAACTTTTGGCTCCTAATTGTGTGTTCTAGTGCGCAGATGATGCCTATGTAGAGGGAAAATGGCTGAAGTTTTGTTGGTCATGCGTTCGTGCAAAAACTAAGATCAACATATTGTATTACGATTCACCTGAAATATTTTCTACTTGTATCAAAAATTTAAGTAAGAATTTGGAGCATGGTAGAAAGTACTGTATATAGTACTATAGAATATTGTATATTAAAAATAAAAGATTTAAATAACTTTTTTTTTTTGTTAATCTTGAGTTTAATTTAAATCAAATATGCTATTAGCATAAAATAAAATTGGATGATAAAATATGCTATTATTCGACGAAATGAAAAATACAAATTAAAAAATGTTGGATTTGCCATCAATATAAGTAATTAGTTTAATTAATTACAAACATGACTACATCCCATACAAATGAATAAACAAAAGTAATCACACACTAATTTCACATTATGCACATTATTTTTGAATTAAAAAACAAATGAAATTACTAATCTCACCCCAACTTTTAAGCCGGGTGCATCATAATTAAACACAATTAATTAACTGTAAGCCTTGGATAACCCAAACATGGATGTGGAGATAACGGCGATAACGGAGGCACCTCAAATATACCCTTCATATCGCCAGAGTCCATCCAATTTGACGGCGTTAGTGGTACAGCAGTGTTGGCTCTTCCGCTCTCAATCTTAGCTTCCTCAACCTCCTCTCTCTTCACAACCTTTATTTCTCTCTCTACTCTATCCTCTTCTCTCTCCCTTTTCCGGCCAGCCTCCAGCGTCCGAGGAGTGGAGTTGGTAATTTCAAGTGGGAAATTCACTATTGCTTTGCTTCCTCTCAGCTTAAATGCCGCCCTGTCGTAAGCTTTCGCCGCCTCCACGGCCGTTTCGAAAGTCCCGAGCCAAATCCGAGTACCTTTCCGGTTGGGATCGCGTATCTCTGCTGCGAACTTCCCCCACGGCCGCTGCCTGACTCCCCTGTAATGCTTCCTCTCGCCGGAATCTTGAACTTTCTGCTCCACCACCTGAACTGTATTTTCCCACTCCATTTTCTTCAATTGAGGAACACAAATATTCAAGGAAGGCTTCCTTTCACTGAAGTTTGTTTGTTTTACAGGCTTTGTTTCAAATTCCGAGTAATCGTAATCAGTTTTCGAGCTGAAAAACCCAGAATATTCAAGATTTGTGCTTGTATTATTCTTGTTTTCAAAGCTGAAATTTGGATCAAAGACAGAAGAACTAGTTGTAAGTTCAGAAATTAATGAACTCGAACTGCTTGAAGTTCGAGAAATCTGGGATTCTGGAAAACTGGAAGGGGGGCAATAAGTTTCCATGAAAGCAAAATCGTCAAGAAGATGTTGGCGTATAATTTCAAGCGTTGAACAATCATCAGGTGAAGAAGCCATTCTTTCTAAACGTTTCTTGATTTTGGACTTCTTTTGAGTGGAAATTAAGGGACTGAGAAAGGGTTTTTATAAAGCCGTATAATTCAAGGATTAGGGTACTGGGACATGAGGTTTCATACGATCCTTCTTAGCTGGAAAGAGGAAGCATCATGTAGAATATTCAATTTATAAATTGCATCGATGTTGAAAACTTGTGTCATTCACGTTCCCGTCTAACACAAAATATACATTTGGATGTCACATGACTTCTACGTAATGTTGCAAATAACTTGAAGCAAGGAGATATGTTTCATGAAGATCAAGATACTCTATTCCATTTTAAATTTTAAGGGTATGTGTTGATCACTTGATTGGTAAATGTAAAAAGATTTTTCAATTTTCTGTAAGTTGGAAAATAAAGATTCAAGTACCAAACGGTTAAAGCAGAAATTGAATTTTTCGAATGTGCCATTTTTCATGAAATTTAAACCAATTAAATACACCATAAATAAATTTTTTTTTTTTGCTATTTTTCATGGAAAAGTGATGCTATCAAACACTGAAAATCAATTTGGGAACTTTTTACTCTAATTTTCTGACAAGTTAGGGTCCTCTAGTAAAATGTAACATATTATACGTGGAATTCAAGATGCGTGGACACAAAGACTATATAATTTGATTAAATTGCCTTTTTAATAATTTGTGAGAATGGTCTATGCGTTGCACAGAGACATCTATTTCCGGGCTATTTCCTCACCAAACGTGACAACTTTAATTAATTCTATCGTCTTGATAATCACGACAAAACATATATATATTTGGTTTAATTATTGAATCGTGTGTTGACAAAATTTTGAATTTTAAAATAGTATTATGCTGATGCCAGGTACAATAATTTGTTTATAAATTATCATGGCGAATTCAATTTCAAATTGGCAACATACTTAAATACTTGCATTCAAGGTAAATATCCAGAAGGGTTGAATGTAAAGTCAGTACGTTGAATTAGATACAATGAAGCGTCAAATAGAAATATATATTCCATGCATCTTCATTTACTAATCTCATTTGATTAGTAAATACTAAACTTGTTGGAAAGTAAAATAAGGAATTAATCGTAGTTTTGAGTTTTATTTAGATCGATTAGGAATGACAACAGAACTGAAATTAAACTATCATTAAAATATCTTCATTTCTCGCCCAATTTACATATTTATTTATCTTTTTAAATAATATTACAAATATAAAAAATACAAAAATAAATTTGAAAAAAGAGTTAAGACAAGTTCGAGACGGAGACCATATTTTTCATGCAAGTTCTGTTTTCTAATATAGGATGGGACAATTCGAGTCGAATGAAAACAGAATATTTTGTCATTCTTACACTAGATATTTCCTTTGGATAACAATAAGAGAGACGTTACAACATATTAATAATTTAACTATTAATCTCTAATTAATCATAGGATTAGTTGATTATTGAACGATGGTTCATGGGTCATAGTCTCGTGCAGACTGGGTGCAGTCCACCGAGACACCCATTTCCAAGCTATTTCCATTTCAAACGTGCAAGCTTTAGAAAACGAGATAACCACATGAATGGAATAGTCATGTCGATACCACTACTTGACTATCGACATAATACTGGTATTTAAAAATATCAGGATGATGGCATAAGTATAGAAAAAAAAAATAGAATATATTTAATTAACTAAAAGAAATTATGCCAATAAATAATAATAAATTTGCCGACATTTCAAGCAATAGAAAATTGGCAAAAATATAAATAAAGATTGTGCCAACCAAGCAAAGATACAAAAACACACGTCCCCACCCCCACCCCCACCCCACCCCTACCCCTACCCCTACCCCTCTTTCTTAAACTACAAATAAAGAAGGAATCCCCACTATACACTATGTATATGCCCTTTGGATAACCATAAAGAAAGACGTTCTATAAAATTAATTGTTTTAGTTTCACTGATGGTCATTGAAATTCAAGGAAAATTTCGAATTGGTCGACAAAGTATTTTTTTTGACTCATTGAGTCATTAATGTTGAATAATATTACATGATTAGTCATTATATTAGCGTAATTAGCACAGTGTCTGGCGTTATAATTGTTAAACATTCAGGTGGAATTGTAACGATTCTTCAATCCCAACTCCTGTTTTTATTTGTCGCAACCTTTTTACCATCGAAAAGTAAGGTTAGGGTTGACATCGAATCTAGAGTGGATGGACCTAACCAAGTGACCAGTTATATTACATTAGTGAACTTTAGTAATTAAATGGGTTGATTGTCGCTTCCTTTTTACCATCGAAAAGTAATGTTAGGGTTGACATCGAATCTAGAGTGTATGCACCTAACAAAGTTACCAGTTATATTACATTAGTGAACTTTATTAATTAAATGGGTTGCAAAATATTTTAATAATCAAAATAAAGTTTCAGTTGAACTTGATTGACAATTTGTAAAATTAACTCATAATTAATTTAATTATTTTGTAATTAATCTGATCATTTTTTTTAATGGCACGTGGGAAGACTTGTATCTTCAACTTGACTTTTGTGCCTGAAGAATCAACCCACCAACTTGACTACATGCAATTGCAAAGAACAACTTGCAATGGTCATTTTCATTTTATCTTTTCTAGTGGGTGGGTGGGGTAGGGGTCCAGGTTGTTGCATTTTGTCCTCTTTCTATCAATGGGGCATTTCCACATCACATTTCTCATATGAACATGCTAAGTGTACACATAGGAGTTTATAATAAACACATGGAGGCCTCGGGGGGTGGGGGAGGGCCAAGCTCTCCCCCAATAAGGAGCTTCCATGTGTCCATTACGTTATGAGTTATATACCCATAGTATAACCCTTATCAATATTCTAAAATGAGTAAATCATGATTAGGTGTGGAGGCAAAAATACATGTTTTATGAGCTTAAGAGAGTTTAGACGTGGCTCAGGCGTAAAAAAAAGTGTTTTCTTATTTTTAATAATATTTTAAATTTTTAATCATTTTAATAATTAAAATAATTCATATCAACATCTAAAATTATAAAATACTACATTTACTTAATAATTCCTATCATTAGTCAATTATATAATTTTTAAGTTTTCGAAATACAAAAATTAGAATATTTTTCATAATTTCAATTTTCAACTAGAAAAGTTTTACTTAATAGATTTATATAAACTTCGTACTCTCTTTTGGAGTTTGCAACAAAATAATGAGTTTCAAGATCATAATTATATAATGTAGATAGCACCATAACTTAAATTTTATTTAACTATTTAGATAAAGTCATTTTTTTAACTTTTGTATAGATAAAATCTTTTAAAATTTTGAAATTAAAGTCAAATGAAAGTTTTTTTATTAAAATAATAATAAAAAAACTAATAAAGCGCTATTAAGGAAGACAAAAGTGATGAAAGAAAAAATCAACCATTTAGAAATTGAAAAAAAAAATAATGTCTTGGCGCGAAGCAAAGCATTTTGCTTGAGTTTCGAGCTTAGGCGATATTAAGGCGTCGTCTAGACGAGCTTTTTAGAACACTATTTTCTATGGGTCCAAGCATTTCTTCAATTTTAATGCTATTGAATCCCATCGAAATTATAATTTGAGTTTATGTGGCGCTAATATAATATTAAATGATAAGTACAATTATTTCATTTAGTCTATTACCGAACTAAATAGCATTATTCTTTTATGATATGGGATGAATCTATACATGTTTAAACGGCTGCCGTGTGAGCTGTGTTTTGATTAGTGAAAATCTTAGATTAATTTAAGCAGAACAAATACAGATGCATTAACTTATACTAAACGGGCATGGTATAAAAAATGAGTCGATTTTCGTAAACTTTCCTCGTGCAACTAAGAAATCCAAGTTTGTGATGTAGAATATAGATGAAATATGTCAATTGCTTATAGTTTTTAATTCCTTACAATTTGGTGTGCGCGTGCCAAACACATACAATATATCTCGTATATTTGGTAGAATCTAACCCTTAATTGACATGACACAATGGTGCAATTTTCGGATTTTTGATGAAAATGTTTTCCCACTTTTTTGGTGGGAAAATGTTTTCCCGACTGGCTGGCTGGATTTTTTTTTTTTTTTTAGCAATGAAAACAAATGTCATAACTAATGGTAAAAAAAAAATTTCTCTTTAATGGACAATTTTCATGTAAAACAAAGTCAAACGAACACTAAACTTTGATTAAAAAAATGATTTTTTAAGAAACAATTTTTCCCCCTTTTTTTTAAAAACTTTTTGGCAATGGAAACAAATTTTATAATCAATTGTGGAAAAAAATATCACTTTAATGGACAATTTTCATGTAAAATAAAGTCAAACGAATAGAAAATTTAAAAATTTTTCGGGTTGAAAATTATACCAATCAAACACACTTGAAATCATTTTCCCTGCAAAACATTTTCTAGTCAAATTTTTCCCTGTAAAACATTTTCTTTCCACCCATTTTTAATCCTTGCAATCAAACGCACCCTTAGTTTAGAATATGTCGTTTTATCTTTTGAGTGTAACAATTAGTTTTGAACGCTTTATGACTGCATATAATTATTCAACCGACTAGTATGAAAATTCTAATAATAACAAGTCTATATTAGTATAATTTAAAATTATAATATATATATATATATTTTTTGGCAAAATATCCTAACTTGAAAATCCAAGCCGTAGGATATGAATTTATTAAATGAAAAAACAATTACAATGCAAGGAGGGGAACAAATGTATCTTACCTCCTAAGGAATTACAAAATGCACTCTACAACTTCTACTGATGAGTTACAATATATGCAACTAAGCCAAAGATATCTAATATTTTCCGTTATTTAACGAGACTTAAAAAACCTTGTAATTTCATGAAGTGTAATCTTGTCTCTCAACTAGGACAAGAACGTGAAATTTTGCTAACGTCGTTTTCATTTTAAGGATCAAAAGAATAAACATTAGTCAATTACAACGTAAACCTTACCAATTAATTTTAAT